TTTTTTATGCTAATTTTGGTTTTGGTTTATAGATCTTTATCCTGCTTTTGGCCATTTTTAGCCAGTCATTTTGTACTTTCAGCTGAATTATTGATGCTCTTACATAGCCTTGTGCTTCTTTTAGCTTTACCTTTTACCTTTTTCTTACTATAGTATTATTTAAAAAAAGCCACTGATGATGCAGAAATTAAGAAACTAACATTCAGTTTTGTTTTCTACTGAAGAGGCAAAAAAAAAGCTTTAGCTTTTACCTTCTATTTTTTTAACTTGTCTTTAGCTCCAATTTTTCTCCTTTCAGTAAGTGTTTTGCTTCTTTTAACTTTAGCAACTCAGCTATTTAAATGAATGTCAGCTGTCATTCAGCTCCCAGTGTCTCTGGTTCCAGCTGATTTCCTTCAGCTACATGTTTGATGTCACGCTTACGTTTTAACGTAGGGGTCAGAGAAGCCGTTGACGTCCATGGCCGCCAGGTGGGCGCAGCGTTTGACGCCCACGCACAGCCCGCCACGCGCTCTCTCCTTGGCCTCGCCCTTCAGCTCGCCGTCCTGGTTTGGCGGGAGGAACTGGAGGCAGAGCAGCAGACGTCCTCTCTCCTCCAGACTCCTCTGCTGCTCCGTCTCCCACTGACGAGCAGAAGGGAAACAAACAGGAAGAAAGGATGAGATGTGTGTGTGTGTGTGTGTGTGTGTGTGTGTGTGTGTGTGTGTGTGTGTGTGTGTGTGTGTGTGCTGCACGTCTTGCTGCAGCTTAAAGAGCTCTGAAACGTATAAGATATGCAGTTTTGATCTGTGATGTGGCTCCACAGAGCTTCCAGCTGTTTGAACTGAGATGGCTCTGAAAACCCACTTGATGCAGAGTCGGCAGCTAACTGATGAAGACAGGAAAGCTTTCAGGAGCTAAATAAGCCAGTTTGCCCACAGGGAGAAACTAACGAAACTAAAATTAGTGTTCTGGACTAGATGTTGACAGAGGAGGGTTTCAGTGACTGAAACTGATGCTGATGTTTGGAAGCATTTCCTGTCTAATTTATAAAGTTGTTTTTGAACATTTTAACATTTAGACAGGTTACACAGTATTGAATTAAAAAAAAACAACAACAACAGTGATTGCCTTTGATTAAACCCTGAGGCTCAATATGGATCATTTCACATTCTCACCTGGGCTACAGTTCTATCAAAGGCTCACTCTGCAGTAACAAACATAGAGGTTTTCCTGGTTTATTTCTCAATTTATAATAACAATATTTGGGGTCTASGGGTGTTGTACTGGAAAAAGAAGGACTTTTGCTGTCACGGGCAACTTTGTTGCTGTTAGCACATGAAGTGTGACAACCATCGACACAAAAAAGAAGCATCTTGTTCCCGAGCGAAGCCAGTATATCTTAACAGAGTTTGTCATGTTGGAGCAGAGTTTGGACACTCAGTTCAGATCACTGTGTCTCTTTGGTCTCATTAGTAAAATAAAATACCTGCCTGTATTATCAGTGTGCATTGCCAATGCAATGCACACTATTGTGATTCGTTTCCCATCCAAGTCATCTCAACTTTGCCATGCTTCTCCTCCTGCATACTTTGTCCTAGAGCTGCCATTGTAATTTATATCTGTAAAGCCTCTGTGTCAAATGA